CTAACTTTGGGTATATTCATAATAAACATCGTGCACGTCTAGATAATGAACGGGTAAAAAAAACTTGTTGCAGTCTACCAGAATTTGAGAATTCAAAAAAGAATTGAGATTGATGGTCGGTTCGAAGTCGATTATTGACTTTATAATTATGCATTAAATTATGCTATATTAAAAGAGCGTTCAAAAAAAAAAAAAAAGAAAGAAAGAATATATATAATATATATAGTTAAACAATTGAGCATTTCTTGTAATTATATAATAACAAAAGTTTATAAAGTAAATATTTTTTCATAAAAGTTATTTCTATGAAATTTGGTGAATCAGCATTTTAGCCTAAATTTTAATTTTTAGTCTCAGCGCCAATGTTTTAAAAAGTTTTTTAAAAAGTTTTAAAACATTTAAAAAACTGTTTAAACCGTTTTTTTTCCATCCCTACCACAGGTTGAATCAATGAATATTGGGTACATACCAGGAGGCAAGTTTCCTGATATATGCCCGATAGCCTGCCATAGATCCTCCAAATACCTGCTGTATATCTTACCAATATGTTTCAAATATGCTGCTGATATTCAGCAGATATTTGGCAGGACTATCAACTACATATCAGGAAACTTGTCTCCTGGTATGCACCCGATATTCATTGATTCAAGCTGTGTATTTTTCACAAAATTCATATTCCTGAAGCATTATCTTTCTTATTTCATAATTCTGACGCCCTTCTTTTGACAAGACATTCTTCTTATAGTTTGCTTTGAAACTGTAAAAAACTCTGTTGCAAAACATACTCTATTCTGATAACGCACAATATTTGGTTAAGAATAAGTTGGTCTGCATTGGAATTATTATGATTTCTATCATAAAAAATTTTTTAACTACTCCCTATTCCAGTGACACACAGTATGTGGTGAAGGGTTAGTTTTCTTTGTAATTAACATAATTCTTAACATGAGTTGCTGTAAAACCGAAATTGGTTTTACCCCAAAATTCCGAAAGACAGATTCTCGAAAAAGAACATAATACCGACAAAGTCAGCCAGCATTAGGTATAATGCTGTTAATTTAGTCGGTATTATGCTTTAGGAAAATAGCCTTTAGGATTTCAGGATAGAACCGTAGAAAATTCATTTACAGAACTGCTCATTAGTCCGATGATGATATATGACTAAAGTTGAGTTAGTTTGCGTTGGAATTATCATGATCTCCTGATCTCTACCGTAAGGTATTGTAAAAAATTATAATACAGAACTTGTTCATGCTTTACTGCTTATTATTGTGTGAACTTTTTTTCTATAAAATATTTACGTAGCTTGATCTAATCTGTTACGTATGTTATTTACGGTTTTACCACAAAATCCCGAAAGACAGATTCCCGAAAGGACCTAATACCGACAAAGTTAGCCGGCATTAGTTATAATGCTGGCCAATTTAGTCGGTATTATGTTCTTTCGGGAAAATGGTTTTCGAGATTTTGTGGTAGAACCGTTATTTACTGCACGTGTAAATGCAATCGTGCATATACAATGTAATCGAATGAATAAAAAAAGTAAAACCTGTTAGATAAAAACCTGTTTCCCAAAACACCGCACCACCATTATAGATTATTCGGCACTGACACATAAGAAAGGGTTATTCGGCACCTGCGATCTCTTATCCCCCAACTTTTATTATAATGATGATCAAATAGTTTTCTATTCATGCGAAGTGATAGGATTTCACGTGATCGAAAAGAAGAGCAAGCACATGACCTAAAGGCGCAAGGAAGATCAAAAGACAAATAAGGAGCTACAATGGGAATCGCGGGTATGTATAAAAGTTGGGTACGACGAATCAACGTCCGCAAAGTGCTTGAACAGAAAATTCGCGCGACCCACCCAACCCACCCGAGATGAAGACACGTGATTCTATCATTTCTTCACTTGCATTTCTACGCCTGCATTCTTCACTCACAACCGGCTTGCTTCTGCAGGCGGGGAATGGCCCCACCGAATACAATAATCCTACGGCGATTCCCAGCGTTTTTTCTCGGGATGTCGTTCTGGCCAACTCGGTCAGTTACTTGCTTCTCTAGCACATTTCTGCTATTTCAATAAAAATCACCTACGGCCTGCCGGCATAGTCCAAATAAACACAAAATGTCATGTAATGCGAATGTTTTTCAACATTTATATACATAAATTTGATTTATATAATACATCAACACTCCCAATACTTGACATACGCATTATATAGATAAAACAACATTTGACAGTTAACGAGAGTGAAAATATTATCAAATTTTTAGGAATTACCCAAGGTAAGAATTGATTTTGTCTTGAAATTAATTTATCCTAAATAACGTAATTTAATTTAGGATCTGGCAATCGTGGGAATTCCGAACAAAAAAATTACATGATAGTTTTACAATACGCAAACGGCAGGACCTTAAAAAATTATTTAGAAGATAAAATTATCAATAATATTTTTACAATTTCGTGGACAGTGCTTATTTTAATTACGGAGCAAATTATTTTCGGACTGCAGGATCTGCACGAAAATAACATTGTTCACGGGGACTTGGTTAGTGTTAATTTTAGATTCTTATTTGTTTAATTGAAATTAGGTATTATTAATTGAAAATCAAAATTTTTAGAATCCTAAAAACATTTTCGTAATAAATGACGATTACAATAGGTTCAATAAAGTTGTATTAGCTGATTTTGGATCAGCATCGAAACTTGACGACAGTTTAGTATCCTTTCGAGGGATCTACTTTACACTTGAATACGCTGATCTGCAATTTTTTATCGATAATCAAATGATTAGACCAAGTTTTAAATCAGACATATATAGCCTAGGAGTAATATTATGGGAACTTACGAGCGGAATTCGTCCTTTTTCAAGATTTACCAATAAGCTTGTTTTAATCAACTATATTCCAAAAGGCATGCGAGAAAAACGGTTCCAGGCACGCCTTCAAGTTACGCAAAACTTTATAAGAAATGCTGGAATTCTAAACCGAAAAAACGACCGGAGATAAAAGAAATCCTGAACGAAATCAACAATGTAGAGGTGCAGTAAAAATAATTTCTAACAAAGTTCCATCATTTGATAGCAGATAAAAGTATTTTTGTGCCAGACCGGTAATAAAGTGATTTTCTATTGAATAATTCAACGTCAGAATTTTTTCTAAACTAAATTTAGATTGTATAATAGATTTTAAATAGACTCTTAAAGTTGATGCAAGCATCGATGAAAGAATTATTAATGATTTTATTAATGAGGTATTATTTGTTATATTAAAAC